GCCTGACCACCCCAGGCCTTTAGAACTAGATTTATCGGTGACAAGGTTTTCCCCTTGGGCCCTATAAAGTATGGGGTTATGATCATTGCTGATGGCCTTGGAGCCCCTGAGGGATATCGGCACCCCAGATACAAAAGAAAGAAACCAAGGCTTAGAGATGCAGGCCACCCGCCCAAGGTCACAGCGTTCTCCTACCTGGAAGGAGGCAGTTTTAGCCGAGAAAGGACGCCCGGATGGGCCGGGCCTCTCCATGGTTGATTCCCACCACCTCTCAGCCACGGGCCACGAGGTAGCCAGGGCCCTGGCATCCTTCATCCCCGGGCTCCCCGCTCTCCAACCAGGTGGGGCACGAAGTGCTTCACAGGCGTGGACACCTCTGCTGAGGCCCCTCTGCCTGCGCTCCAGCTGGGCCAGAGAGGGGAGGGGGAGTTGGGGGGATTCCCAAACCTCATCTTCTCCCCTCCTGTGGCCTTGGGGGGCCCCCAGCATGCAGGGGAAAGGTCTTACCTGATAGCTTCCTGCTCTCATCCCAGGATCTGCCCAGGGGCCTCTCTGGCGGCTGTCGGGAATGCAGGACGGGTCAGAATCTCCCATGAGTTAAATAACAACTGGGTGCAGGTTAAAGGTAAGCCGGCAGGCAGGGTGCTGGTGGGGGGGTGGGAAGGGATGGGGACAGGGGACGGACAGGACTTGGGAGACTTTCAGACCTTGGGCTGGGCTTCCTGCAGAGCAGTGCTGGCTTCGTCTGGCCTCTCTCCCAGCCCCCTTATCACAGCCCATCTCCCCTTGCAGTCATGGCCCTCCCAGGCTGGGAGCCCTGGGGAGCCGGGGCAGGACACAGAGGCGCCCTTGACCTACGAGTCAAAGGAGCATGCTGAGGGGAAGGGCTGTGTTTCACCAAATCGTTTGGTCATAAAGAGACCAGGTCACGGACCCAGTCCCCGGCCTGCAGGGTTACATGGAGGGCCCATCCAAATGAGCTGGTAAAGGCCTTTCCGGCTTCCATAGCCTCTTCAATCATCCACTCGGCCATTGGCTGACTCACTCCTCCGGTATTTGAGACACTCTCCATGTGCCTGGGGTAATGCCCCCACAAGGCCCTGCCCTCTGGGAGCTTTCATCCTGTGCCAGGCACCTCCCTCCACCAATGGGGGTGGCATCCCGTCACACCAGGGTTCCAGGCCGAAGCGGCACAGACCCATATCTGCCCTGCTAGTCCGGCCTCCTCTCTAGGGTGTTCTGTGTTGGGGGGAGCTCAGAGCTGGCAGCTCTGGGGTTTAGGCCTGCTCTAGTTGTTTTAAAACATGATTTAACTGGATGAATAAAAATATTAATTAAGGAAGTATAAGAAAACACAGACTGGGCCGGCCTGGTGGCGTAGTGGTTAAGTTCTTGCACTCCACTTCAGCGGCCCAGGGTTCGCCAGTTCGGCTCCTGGCGCAGACCTAGCACCACTCATCAAGCCATGCTGTGGTGGCATGCCACATAAAGTAGAGGAAGATTGGCACAGATGTTAGCTCAGGGACAATCCTCCTCACACACACATACACACACACACACAAAACACAGACAAGCATAAAGGACAGAACCGCTCAAAACAGCCATGGGTAAGGTTTTAGTGTGATTGCTTCCGTTTCTCTTACAAAATGAGCTCAAGCAGGAGATATTTTGTAAGCTGCTCCTTCCACCTGTTGCATTTGGAACGCGTGTATGTCTCCCTCCTTTTGCACACTGCCCAGCATCCCAGCACAGGGCCATGCTCTGTCTGTGCCGCCCAGATCCCCAGCAGCAGCGTGGGCATCGCCCGTCAGCCTGTCAGAGGCGCCTGGCGCAGACCCGCGGGTGGAGACGCGGACGTGCACTGAAGGTGCAGAAGCGCTGCTCTAACTTGTTTAAGCTGATGGAGGTTTGCGCTGTCTCAGCTTTTGCACACACAGGGCTGCCCTGAGCATCGTGGACCCCTGGCTGGAGGTAGCAGAGAACAGGTTAGGGGTGCGGCCTTGAGGTTACAGCCTTGGTGTGGCTGCTGCACACTCAGTCACATGGCCCTTGTGTACAGTGGACAGGAATCAACATGTGCCCTCTCTACTGGGTCATTCCACGATGTCGTGGCTCCTCTCTTAGAACATACAAGCCTAGCTCCATCCCTGATGGTGGATTGCTGCTACTTCTTGTCTTCGGTTCCCTTCCTCCCATTCTCCAGTGGTCCGAATGCTCCATCAGGGTTTCATCAGAAGCACACCACCCACAGACTCTTGCCAAGGTCACCACTGACCTCAACGTGGCTAAACCCACCAGCGGTCAGTCCTCACTCCGTCTTTTGGACCCATCGGCGGCACTTGTCTCAGTGACCGCTCCTTCTTCCCCGACACACTCTCCCTCTGCTCTCTTCTTACTTCCTCTGCTGCCGCCCTCAATTCCATACTGACCGAGGACATGTAAACACTGGGGTGCCCCCGTAGGCCACATCTCCATTCTCCCCTCCTCCCACCTCATCCCAGCCTGCCTTGGGACTTTCAAAACCACCAAGCTGGCAACTCCCAAAGGTGCGTCTACAGCCCAGGCTTTTTGGGCCCAGAACTAGACTCAGATATATACCAACTCAACCTGGATGTCCACCTGTCATCTCCAGCTTACCATGCTAAAAAAGCCATGCTCCAGCCACACCCACTGCAGCCTTTTCTGTCTGAATGACGGCAGCCCCATCCTCACTCCAGCCAGTGCCTGGGACTCGACTCCTCTTTCATTCACACTCACATCCAACCTGAGAGCAAATCTTGTCAGATTTGCCCTCACAGGAACCCATAAGTCCAAGCATTCCTCACCACCAGCTTCATTACCAGCTTGGTCCAAGCCACCACCATCTCATGCTAGATTATCACAACAGCCCGAACTCGTCTCCCCACTTCCAGCTTTGCCTCCTTGGTTTTTCTCAACACGGAGTCAACTGTGATCTTTTAAAACATCAGACCATGTCCCCAGCCTGCACAAAGCCCTTTGAAGGCTTCCTAGCCTTGGGGCCTTGGCGTTTGTACCCACTCTCCACCTCTACACATCCCCCATCTCTCTGGGATTTCTGCTCCCACGTCACCCTGACCCCCTCAACTCACCCTACTCTTTCCCTCTCTTATTCCACTTTTTTGTTTTCCACAGACCTTATCCCACCAGAACCTTCAGGATAAAATGTGAGCTTCATAGGGGTGAGGGTGGCCACTGCTCTGTAGCTGCGTGAAGTCTAGAAAAGTCTGGCCCTTGGAAGACAGCCAAGAAAGCCACGTTGAATGAACGAATGAAACCATTAGAGTTGTAGTGAGAACTCAGTGAGGTAACGGACCATCGCTGCACAACTGCTCCTGAGCAATTTCTCTAAGTGGAATTGCTGGGTCAAACAGTATGAACCTTTTGGAGATTTTCATCCTTCGGAGAAAAAACCGCACCTGGAACAACTAGGCCAGCCCTGTGAGTTTTCCCACATCACTTATCTGTCATTCAAAACCGATCGATTGACCCATTAGGACACCTTGCTGTTATTCTAATTTGGATTTCTTCGATTACTAGCTGTACTGAGTTGAATAGCATCCTCCCAAAATTCATGTCTACTGGAACCTCAGACGGTGCCCTTATTTGAAGAGGTCTTTGAGATGTAATTGGTTAAGATGAGGTCATGCTGGATCAAGGCGGATCCTAAATCCAATGCCTAGCGTCCTCATAAGAGAGACAGAAGCACGGAGGGAAGAACACCATGTGACGGCACAGGCAGAGACTGGAGTGGTGTATCTACAAGCCAAGGAAGGGCAAGGATTGCCAGCCATCACCAGCAGCCAGCAGAGCGGCACGGAACCCGTTCTCCCTCAGAAGGAACTAACACTGCCAACATCTGGATTTCGCACTTCTAGCCTCTGGCACTACAAGAGAACAAATTTATGTAAGCCACCAAATTTGTGTAATTTGTTACAGCAGCCTTGAGAAACTAACACACTATTCAAGATTTTTTTTTACTTTTACTGGCCTTTTGTGAAGCTGTGATCTGGCTCAATTTCTACAAGTTAAGGACAGTTCTGGTAAAAGGTTTTGCCCACCTTCCTTCCTGGGCCCCCTTCAAGAGCCCCACCCTCACCCCCCACCACCTAGGGACAGAATGTAGAATTTGCCTCAAATGTGCCTGTCCGCAATATCAGATTCATGGGAAATGTATCCCCCAGCATGTGCTGCTGGATGAGGCCTTGTGATCCAATCTTCACACTGACCGTCTGTCCTCCTACCCACTACCAAGCCCCTGTAGATCCTTCAACTCCTCTGGTCATTTTCTCTCCCCTCCCCAAAGCTGCCCTCTACTCAGCAGCCTGAGGAACCTTTGCAAGTTACAGATCTGATCCTTGTCATTCCACCAATTAAAAGCCTTCTGAAGGGGCCAGCCCCATGGCCTAGGGGTTATGTTTGGCATGCTCCACTTTGGCGGCCCAGGTTCGGTTCCTGGGCACAGACCTACACCACTTGTCAGTGGCCATGGTGTGGCGGTAACCCACATACAAAATAGAGGAAGACTGGCACAGATGTTAGCTGAGGGCAAATCGTCTTCAGCAAAAAAAAAAAAAAAAGCCTTCTGCAGCCTCCTGTGGTTGAGTCAAGTTCAAACACGTCTGTCAGCCACAACAGACAGTTGCTGCCTGGATCACTACAACAGAAAGAGCCCTCAGGAGACCCTCTCCAGTTCCTTCTCCAGAGAATTGAGACCCTTTTCTCATGTTTTTCCTCTTCTTGTGACAGAGCGGAGAGGAGCAAGGGAGTATCATGTTACCTGCCCTCTGGGGAGCACGATAGCAAATATTCTGGAAAGCACTCAAGAAAAAACAAAAAAGACAAAAGTCCTCTTGCAGTTATGTCAGGGAACATGAACTGGGATGAAGAAGAGTCAAGACTTGACAAATCTCAGTGGTCAGGCCCGACCTGTCGGCCACAGGGTTATGAGCTGGGGGTCTGAACACAGAGCACAGAGCCACTTACTGAAAAAGAGTCACCTTTAATAGTAACTGACCAATTGTAACTGACAAACCGCATCCAGAAATGTCTCCGAACAACCAAACAAAAGAAACATGATAAAATTCTCCCATTAAAGAAACCAAGAGTTTCTGCCAGCCCCAGTGCTTCTGAGGGTCAGGCCAAGAGCAGCCCATTTCCGGGGCTGGTTCTGTCCCCTACATGAGCTTCTCATCCCAAGAGGAGGCTTCGGATGGGTGAAGGACCTGTCCCCTCCTCCCATCATGCTGGGAACTCAGAAAAAGTCACCGTTAGCGCCTCTCCTCCCACCCATTCTGTCCTAAGGTAAATGGAGACCCTCTGGGTGTCATCCCAAAGCCAGGGAACAGGTGAGGCAGCCCCCGTGTCCTCCTGCACTTTCAGCCAAAGCTTTACTCCAGTCCACTTAGCTGCTGTTCCCACTGCCCATGGTGGGGATTAAATAAAATACAGACTAGAGAAAAAACTCAAATGCTCCATCATCTCCACACTGCAAGTCACAGAGCAGAAGAAAAAATAAAACAGCCCTAATAAACGCGAGAGCTGCCGGCCCTCAGAAGACGCGCTCAAACTCTGTCTGGTTGGTGGTGGCGGGATTGCGGCTCTGGTTGGTGGACTGCTGGGTGATCTGGCTGCCCTTCCGGCGTGGCGGCGCCAGGTACTCGAACATGGACGTCAGGTGGGTGGACAGCATGCCCTTGAGGTCCGAGGGCATGGGGTCAGACCAGAAGAAGTCGTGGTTGAGGGCGTCGTCACTGTCAATGCGCTGTGCGGGATCCAGCACCAGCAACTTGTCGATGAGGTCCAGCGCGTAGGGGTCACGCACGTAGGCCTTCAGCCTGTCCTTCACCTTCCGCTTCTGGCCCTTGACCAGGTCCAGTTTCTCAAACAGCTCATACTTGTCCACATTTGGCCACACCTGGAGTGGGGGTTGGGGGAGGCACGGAGAGAGGATGGAGTTAGTTCAGGGGTTACGTGGCTTGTCCACTGGTCAAGCACCTGAAGGGATCAAAAGTCCTCCATTTAGATACTCCCAGACCACACTGGAGGATGAATTTGAGCCCTCCACAGTGAAAGCAGCAGTGACCACGTATTTGGCACACACCACACGCCAGGCCGTTTGATATAAATTGCCTGGAATGTGCGCACCAAGCCTGATACAGGCATAGCTGTTTCACAGAAGAAAAACTCAGCTCTTAGGTGAGAAGTTCAGATGCCTTCCCAAGGCCACAGAACTAACTGGTAATGAGGCTGAGACTTGAACACAGCCCGTGTGGCTCTAAAGAGCAGGCCCTGTGCCTCCACCAGCCAGCTCTCCAGAGAAGAGCTTTCCTTCTAGGCCACTCCCAACTCCTCCCCCGCCAGGGAGACTCCTGGATCTCTGTATCTATCCTGTGGGGCCCAGGCAGCCTGGCCACGCACCTCAGGGGTGATGGAGCCACAGAGCTGGCTGATGAGGGCGAGCTGGTGCTGTTCCGTGTTGCCCTGCATGATAGGGCTGCGGGTCCACATCTCCGCCATGATGCACCCAGCACCCCACAGGTCAATGGGGGGGCCGTAGTCCCGCTCTCCTGGGAAGAAGAGCGCACCAGGAGGGCCCCTTGAGCCCGAGGGCCTCCTGGGACGCAGTGCCCCAGGGCCGGTGGCTCAGGAAGCCCTGGCAGTGGGGGGCTGAGGCCGGGTAAGTGCCCAGTCCCTGCCCCCCTCTGCCCGCTCGGGAGTCCTCACCGAGCAACAGCTCCGGGGGCCGGTACCAGAGCGTCACCACACGGTTGGTATAGCGGTTGGGCTGGCTGTTCTTGGCCAGGCTGAAGGCCCGGGCCAGCCCAAAGTCAGCCAGCTTCAGAACCCCATCGCGGGTGATGAGCACGTTAGCCGCCTTCATGTCCCTGTGCAGGATCTGCGGGAAGCACAGCGGACGGCTCAGTCAGGTTCCCAAGGGTCCTTCAGCCACACCCACCCAGCAGTGAGAGCAAAGGCAGCCCACGCCTTGGTCTCTGGCCCCAGCTCCGGGCCCCACCTTGTTCCTGTGGATGTAGTAGAGGCCGTTGAGCAACATCTGCATGACCCTCTTGATCTCAGACAGCGTGAACTTCACTAAGACGTTGCTCAGAAGCCCAGCAAGGTCATGCTCACAGAAGTCAAACACCAAGTATATACTGCCTTTGCAGCGGTTATAGGGGGACGCTGAGGCAGGCAGAATGGAGGAGAGGGAAACAAAAAAACGAAGTTAAAGATCCCATGTACAACTCATTTTCCCACAACCAGCTCCTACCCCCTCCAACCCACAGACACCCGGATATCCAGTGTGCATTCCTTCACTAGTAAGATATTTCCGGTGTGCCTCTGGGCCGGGTGCTGTGGCAGGCCCTGGGGAAGCACCAGCTATGATGAAAGGACCAGAGACAGCAGTCACAGGCGGAATGTCTGGGTTAAGAACAGGCAATTGAGGTGTGACCAGTTCCAACTTTGCAAACAAGCCTTAGGCTGTAAGCCTCGTTTTCTCCATCTGAGAACGGGGATGAGATCCAAACAACTTACCTTTGGTTCGACAGATCTCAATCAAGTTGACCACGTTCTCATGTTTTAGAAGCTGGAGGATCTTGATTTCCCGCAAGGCTGTAATGGGGAACTGTGGGGAGAAAGACAGGAGGGGGGTCAAAAGTGAGTGAGCACATTACAGACCAAGGAACCAGCCATGGGGTTGGTACTACGGAGCACAGGTCGGGAGGAAGAGTAAGATTACGGGCTCTGAAATGAGCTCTCAGATGCCTTATCCGTAAAAGAGACGTAAGACTAGTATGCACCCCTCAAGGAGCTGGTTTGACACAATGATTTGAAATAATAGTACTTAACACAAACACTTTACTGCTAGTCACTAAATGCTTCATAGTTTCTTCAACCTTTAAATTTTAGCCCTATGCCCGTGTTCAACTTGCCGGGAGGTAACAAAACCAACGGAACCAACAACTGAAAAAGTTTCCTTGCTAAGAAGCAGGTCTCTGGGAAGCTGGACTAGAGCTAACATGGGGTGGGGGACTGGACTGCTCCTTTTCAACTGAGCACTAGTCACCCTTTTAAAGCTATTGCGTGTAACTATTTTTTTTTACAGTAAACAAAACTGAACGCTAAGAAAAAAGTGTTTAAAGGCCTCCTAACTTCAGGACCCAAGGTGCGCTCTGTGCAAGCATGAGCTCCCCCTCCTGGCCCCAACCATATTTACCTAAGAATGAAACACCAAATGATTTAAAACATTTGAATTAAAAGATTTAATTTGGAAGTCAAATTCCCTGGAATACAGAAGATCTCGAACTACTACACATACGCTGAATCTCAACGTGAGAGTTCTAGAGGAAGCAGGATGGAAACCCAACTCCGTGCCCAAGGGAGCCCGCAGGCCTGCCCTCCCGACCCGCACTCACCCCCTCCTTCTCGTTCTCCATCAGCACCTTCTTTAGAGCCACCTTTTGGCCGGTCTTGCGGTCCTTTGCCTTAAACACCTCCCTGTAGGCCGAGAGAGGGACCCAGGAGGGCTCAGCAGGCCGCTTCCGCAGGGCCCGCCCCTCCCCCCCACGGGAGGCGGGCAGGAAAGAAGGGACTCCCGGGCGGGGCTGGGCCGGGGACCCAGGGCGCTCGGCTACCCGACCACCCGGTACCTGCGGCCCCTCTCCGAGCCTCTACTTCGTTCCCTCAGTCCCTTCTCCTCCCCGGGCGTCTCTCGGGAACATCCGCTCCCCTCACAGGCTCCCCTCTGCAACCCCTCCCCGCCCCCCATCACGGGCCTCAGGCTCCTCCCCGCCAGCCGGCTCTGTCAGGCTCCGACGGGCTGCGGCGTGGCCTAGCGAGACCAGGGGACAAGTCTGGGGCTCGGTGGCTTCCCGACCACCTCGGGCCCGGCCCCGGCCGTCCCGGCGTCGGACCTGAAGGATGCAGGCCCAGGGCTCCCGGTCCCTCGGGGCCCAGCCTTACCCGAAGGTGCCTTGGCCGATCTTAGCGAGCTTCTCATATTTGGACACCTCATCACAAAAGGGGCACTCCACCGAGTCGTACTGCTTTGCCATGGCCGCCTCCAGCGCGCCGCCGCCGCCCCCAGCCGCCGCCGCCGCCGCCGCCGCCGCCGCCGCCGCTCCCGCCCCGGGTCCCGCCGCCGCGCTCCAGGCCCCTCCGCGGCCGCGCCACTTCCGCCTCCACGGCCACTTCCGGCCTCGCGGCGCCGACCCCGCCTCTTCCGTTCGCCGCCCGCCGCCAGGCCCCCTGGGACTTGTAGTTCCCGGGAGGCCAGGAGGAGCCGGAGCTGCAGAGGCGCCTCCGCCGCCGCCGCCGCTGCCCCCGCCTCCGCCGCCGCCACTGCTGGCGGCGGCCCCTATCAGGGGCGCGGGGAGCCGGGGCGCCGGGGCTGGGGCTCGGGGCGGTGCGTCCCGCTGCATCGGCCCGGGCCGCCGCTGCTGCCGAAGCCGCTGCCGCTCTGGCGCCCGATCCGGGGCCAGCCGCAGTGCCCTGCTCCTCCTCCTCCTCCGACGGCGCCGCCTCCGCCGGGCTGCGCGGGGCGGCGGGCGGGGGGGCGGTCCCCGAGCCGCGGCCTGGGGGCTCCCTGGCCGGGCCCGGGCCCGGGGCGGCCGGGCGAGGGGGCGAGATGGGAAGAGCCGACGAGGAGGCGGCCCGAGAGCCCGGGAGGGGGCGCGTTATAAAGGGGGAGGTGCCCTGGCTTTGCCCTCCCCTCCCCCTCCGCCCGCCCCCTCCCTCCTCCCTCCCACCCTCCGCGGCCGCACCTGCCGCCGCTGCCGCCGCCGCCACCGCCACCTCCCGCCCGCCCGCCCGCCCGCTGTCCGCCGGCCGCCCTCGGCGCGTCACCGCCCGCGGCCCCTCCTCCGCCTTCGGAGGTGGGGCCCCGCGCTCGACACCTGGCTGCGGGGTGCCTCGCCGCGTGCCTCAGTTTACCCTAACATGACGGCTGCCGCGAGGATCCGGAGTGCCCCCCGCCCTCGACAAGTAAAGGCAGGAGGCGCCGAGGGAGCGGCCTCTGGTCCTGGGAGGGGAGAACGGCCCCCGCCGCCGCCGCCTCCCCGAGCCAAGCCACCCGCCGTTGACATGGCAACCGACGGCCGCCAGGGGGCGCGGCGACACTGGAGGCGGCGAGCAAGTAATGCCCGGGTCTTCCGGGCCTGGACCCCCTGTTCTCTGGAAGGCAGGCATGAGACCCACAGGACCCCGGTCCCCGCCCAGCTGCGCCCGAGCTGGTCAGGCTCCGGGTCAGTAATCACAAAAATAGCTAGCATTTACTCAGCACCCCTGTGTGCTCAGGAAGTGCTGGGCGTTCCCGCTGAATCCTGAATCAACAGCTGCGTAGTCAGGATCGCTAACCCATTTTACAGAAGAGGACACTGAGGCTCAGAGAGGCAAGGTCATTTGCCCAAGGTCACACAGTGACAAAACGAGGACTGGAACCTGGTCTGTCTGAATCTGTAAAGGATTCTCCCGACTCAGATCATTTACAGGCTGGTCAGGAATATAGCAGTAGTGCTGTTTGAGGCCTGCGCTGCTTATGCCAGACACCAAGCCCACCATTCACCCATCTCCTTCTCTGACCCTATGTCCCGTTCCCTACCCCAATCCTTCCCCAGCATCTTTCTGATATCTTCCTGGCTCCAGGAACCTCCAGATTCTTCCTCCATCTCTACTCAACAACCAGCCCCAGGCAAAGCTGTCTTTCCTACCTCCTCTGCACCCCTTCAGTCTGCCCCTCCTTTCCAGTCCTCCGCTGATGGATCCTGAGTCTTGGCCTTCCCAGTCTGGCCTCTCCATCTGTCCCCCTCACAGCATCCACCAGATCATTCTGAAGTGGAGTCTGCGTATACTTCCCTCCACTGTCTTCAGGAAAAACCGAACTGTGATATTTGAGGCTCTTTCCAGCTCCCTCCCAAGCTGTGGCCACCGGAATCTCCCTCCTTTTTCCTAACTCCCTGGCCTTCCTGCCTTCAGGGATGTGCTCCCTGGTTGCACCCCAGCACCCTCCGTACCTGCAGGAAGCCCTCAGGGTTGCCCCCCAGCTCCTACGCTACGTGGCTTTGCCTTGAAGCCTCCTTATAGACGGGAATGGGTCTGGTGATCCTGGTGTCCCCAGAGACCCTGTTCTTGGGGAAAGCCCTGCCAGGGAGGGCCTTGAGGGTCAGGCAAGGAGCAGGGAGCCCTCTCCTGAGGACAGTGGGGGGCCAGCGAGGGTTTTAGGCAGTTGAGCGCCATGTCAGGGAGTGATCTAGGGACACTATTAGAGACAGGGAAGCCATTGGCTAAATTGGGGGTGGAGAGGGCAAGGAGGGAGAAACCAATAATAATTGGAATTTATTGAGGGAAAATAAATGGTCTAAGCTGCACACTTAGCACTTTAAGGGAATTACCTCAATTCTCACTCAGCCATATGAGGTGGTACTGTTATAAATTCCACTGTACACATAACAACACTGAAACTCAGAGATCGCATCACTTGACTAGCCAAACAGCTGGCCAGTGGCCACATTGGTGTTGGAACCAGGTCAGTCTGGCAGGAACCCCAAGCACTTACTCATGTCAGGACCCCGCCCATCTGGGCTGGAGGTGGAACGAGGGCCCACTGGATGCCCATGGGAGGTGCGGACGGGGATGGTAGCACTGGGGGGTGCTGCTATAGTTTGTGGTGGCTTCCACCATCAGACTCTCAGGCTGGGGCCCCTGCCTGTTTCCCACGAGCCTCCCTAAGTCACATCCTGTGGGCAGAGGCCTCAGCACAATGTTCCGGTGGTGTCATCACCTCCACCCAGCCATCCCTGGCCTGAACCCCAACATCCGCCAGTCACTTCACTTCCCCTTGAAGCCTTGGCCCCTCAGCCCTCCCTGATGGAGGAAGGCGGGCGGGAGTGGTCAGGGGCCCAGCGGAAGGCTGCCCAGGCTGCTCAGACCAGGGGGGCCTGGATGGCCCAGGTGAAAGTGAGAAGAAATTAGGTGCCAGCCAGAGAGAACTTCTCGCCGACTTTGATGTCTGATTGGCTGGTTTGAGGGAATGTTTCCTGTTCCACGGATTGGCTAAGCTGGCAAGGCCAGGCATGTGGCCAGTACTCAGGAAATGTCTGCTGACTGACTGACCAGGCTCTGGGAGAGCCTGTGGTCCTGCTGCCATTTAACACTTGGGGAAACTGAGGCACGAAGTAGAAAAGGAAGCCACTAGCCAGCTGTTTGACCCTGGCCTGGAGCCTCAGTTTTCCTCTCCTGAGCAGGGACAGGGTGGGGGTGCATATGGAGGGAAGGAGAAGACAGGCTCCTGGGGTGGGCTGCTCTTGGCTGCTGGTATGTCCAGGGGACAAGGGGTCACTGGATGGGGATTAAGGACAGAGAATAGCTGTGTGATGCCCAGAGCCCTGTAACACCATGACATTCTGCCCACATCAGCCAGGTACTGACTGTCTGCCTGGTGGTGTTGATATGTGTCATCCTCCTGGAACTTTCCAGCACTCCTCTTAGGAGGTTGCTATTATTGGTCCCAAGTTACAGAAGAGGAAACTAAGGCTCAGAGTGGTGAAGAGGGCTGCCCGAGGCCACACAGCCAGGAAGCTCTGGAGCTAGGATTCAACCCAGGTCTCTTTGCTCACAAAGCCCAGGGTCATTTACCACCATCCTTCAGGGGCCCCAGTGCAGACAGCTGGGCCAAGCCGGGAAGGCACCCACTGAGACCAAGAGCATGGCAGATGTGGGGCCAGTGTGGATGTGTAAGGCCAGTTCCTCTCTCAGGGTGCATGAGGCCTGTTTGGAACATGCAAATGAAGACACAAGTGACTGTGACACGGGTGACACTCTCAGTATAAATGTTTTGTTTCATTGCTACAGGATCACGTGAAGATGTTGTATTTGCTCCATTTTACTGGGAGGAAAAACAAGGCTCAGAGAGATGATGTGACTTGCCCGAGGTCTTGCAGGCGGGGTCTGAACTCAGGTTTGCCTGGCTCCAATGACTATGGCAACTTTGATGATGAAGCTGAAGGTCTCCAGTCCCTCATGGTACCTGGCCAGACCAGGCCACTGAGGTACAGACTGGGGGAGAGGGCCAAGGAGGGAGGGGACAGAAATCAGAGCAGGGTTCCTGGGGGCACTATGGCTCATTCTAGACCTGGAGAGACTCCATGAAGGCAAAAGATGGAGCCAGTGGAGGGAAGAGGAGCATTCTGGGTGTGAGTCCAGCCTGAGCAAAGGCCTGGAGGCAGGAAGGCACTTGTGTGTTCAGGGCTGGAGAGCGTGGACTGGGCTGGGCTGGCCTCCAGCACAGGCTGAGGAGGGCCTGTGGGACAGCCACCCGCCAGCAGGTCCCCAGCCGCACTCCCAACGGCCACTCAAGGCAGCACAAAGGGGGCTCTCAGCTCAGCGGAGCCACCACACTGAGCCCCATTCATTCTCCCAGGGATGCGGCAACTGCCCTGGCGCCTGGGCCAACGGCAGGGCCAGCCTACTGCCGACAAGGCACCTCCACACAGCAGCACAGCCGCGCCGGGGCCAGGACTCCCTGCGCTCACACCATGCCCCTGCTCCAGGGTTTTCCTGGCCTGTGCCAGTCTGCCCCTGGCCTGAACCACCCCCATCCCTCAGTGACAACCGCCAGGGTTTGCTGAGGCCACAGCTTAATGGCCTGGGCCAGCATTTGCTCCTCCACCCTCCCAGGAAGTGGGGGTTACTGTGACCCTATTTCACAGGTGAGGAAACTGAGACCCAGAGAGGTAAAGGCTCTTGTGAAGGATCACATAGCAAGTTGGGAGTGGCCCTGGCTGGGAAGCCAGCGCTGGTCGATGCCAGAGCCTCAGCAGTGAGCCCAAGTCCCTGGGGCTGCCTCCTAGGGGAGAAGCCGGGGGACCCACCCTTGCCTTCCACTAAGAAGGCTACTGCCAGGCCACAGGCCCCTCTCCTTCTTCTGACAACAACCCAGAGATGGGAGTTAGAACACCTGGGTGTCTATATAGTCTCTGCTGCTCTTCAGCCTCAGTTTCCTCGTCTGTGAAATGGGAAAGTACCAGGATTCGCCTCGCAGGTCTGTTGTAAGGATTCAATGGACGATCTGTGGAGGCTTCCGGCTCCCTGCTTGGCTCATGGTCAGTGCTCAGTAGAAGGAGCTGGAGTCGTTGTCCCCTTTTCCCCCCAACTCCATGGTCCAGAATCCCCATCCTTTTCATTTGAACTTTGAACAGTGGTCCCATCTGGGCCTGTCTGTGAGCAGGACCTGCTGCCCTGGTCTCATGGGCTGTGTCCCTCTCAGGGCCTCGGGTTAACCCTCATCCCATCAAGAAGCTTCAGCCAGACTCTTCCCCAACGCAAATCCATCATCCAGCTGCGAGGGGTCTTGGGAGCTGTGGGCATGGGAGTCAGGACCTCAGGCCCCACAGCCGGACAAGCAGGTTCCAGGTCCAGGTAACTTGACATTTGGAGCCTCAGTTCCCACCTCTGTAGAATGAGGACAAGAGTGACAATGTTACCTCTTAGGGCAGAAGGACTGAGCCCCGTGGCTGGAACATACGAAGTGATCAGAAGATGTTAATTGTATTTATTCTTATGGGGGATGCGGGAAGGACCCCATGTGACTTTGGACTCACTCTCACAGCCTCAGTTGCCAGGATGATAACGTCCGATCCTGCTGGAGCCTCTGCGATTGACCGCGAACCTTGCACTTGTGCCCATTCTAGAGATAAGGTAACTGAGGCTTCAGAGGCGGAAATAACTTGTCCATGGTGCTCAGAGCTGGGACCTGAAGCCCTTGGTCTTGTGGCTCCCCCACCCCAGCTGCTGCTGACAGCCTCTGCAGGTGTCTGGGACAACCTGCATTGGGAAGGTTTCGTTTCCTCATCTCTGTCTGGCCCACGTGAGTGTACACACACACACACACACACACACACGTGAAGGTTGTAGGGTGGAAAAGGACCAGGCTGTGGGTTAAGGGACCTGGACGGGCAACTTGGAATCTAGTCTGTGCCACCAATCTGCTGTATGACCTGGGGCAATCCTTCTGCCTGTCTGTGCCTCGATTTCCCCATCTCTGTAAAATGGGTGGACCAAATTATTGCCATGTCCCTGCCAGCTTGAAAAGGAGGGACCATGCCTTGGTGGGCACCGATTCTGTGCCAGGCTTTGGACCAAGCCCTGGACCCTGTGAGGGGGACATTGCAAATACCCCCTGTTCACAGGAGGAAACTGAGGCTCAGGGAGGTGAGTTCCCTAGTCCAGGATCACACAGTGACAAAGTGGCCAGCCATGACTTGAACTTGGGTCTGGGTGGTGCCAGAGCCCAGAGGCCTAACCACATCACTCTCCTATCCATCACTGCCGGTGCATCGCCCAGGCACAGAGGCTTACAATAATCTGCCCTGCACTCAGGCCTGATTCCCCACACCCTCCCAGCCCACTGGCCAGACCCCCTGACAGCTGTTGGCAGGTCCCCAGCAGCCCCTGGCCCAGTGGGCTCCATTCCCGGAGCCTGTGGTTTGTTCCCCAGGTCCCATGGGCTTGTGGTCTGCCCCCTGCGCCCCGCTGCTGAGGCCAAGGAGGCGGCCCACAGGGGCCAGGACTGGGGGAGGCCCCAGCCCCCGCCCCCTACGGAGAGAATGGGGAGGGTGGGGCTGTGGGAGTTTCGCTGGTTTAAAAATACACAGAGGAAGCGAGTGAGAGGGCGCGAGAAAGGGGAAGGGGAGGTGAGGGAGGCATCTCAATGCTGATGTCCAGAGCCTTCAGCAGCTACTCGCCGGCCAGCCAGGGGCTTTACACAGCTTGCCAAGATGACGGAGGGACCCAAGAAGGCCAGCAAAAAGTTCAGTGAGTGCGGGGTGCCATTTGCGCTGTCCTTCGTGCCCCTGTCTGTCTATCTCAGCCTCTCTCTGCATCTGCTTCTTCATCCCTCCGTCTTGTTTCTGTTTCTCTTCCTGTCCATCTCTGTCTCTCTTCAGAAGTCTGTGCTCCTGGGTTTCCATGTCACCATCCCTCCATCCCTCTGGCCCAGTCTCTCTCTCTACCTCTCCAGACTCTCCCTCTCTGTGCTTCTCTTGTCTCTGTCTCTGCCCATCTCTGTTTCTCTGTCTCTCCCCGCCCCACCTCTCAGTCTCTCCATTCGTCTGTGTGTCCATCTGCATGTCCATCTCCGGCCCTCTCTGAACGCATAGCTGGGCAAGGGAAGACCTTCACACCCCCTGCCTCTGTGCCTGGTTCACACAGGGTCTCACGTTGGGAGTTACTAGGCCCGGGGCAGACAGGGGCCGTGGGATGCTGTCCCACATTCCCACCGGTAGTCGGGCTGTGACAGTAGGACCCAGCATCCTGGCAGGGAAAGAGCCCAGAGCATCTAGATGAGGGACCACACCTACACGTCACTGTGTGCCCAGGTTGGTCCCCTCCTGGTCTCAGCAAACTTCTGCTTTCCTGATTCCCTGGATGTGACAGCACAGGGCGGGGCCGGGGGGTGCGGGGTACAGGGCAGGAATTATGACTGCATTCCACAGATGAAAATGCTGAGGCCCAGAGACTTGCCTGAGATCGTAGGGGGCTATAGAGCAGAGCTCAATCCCGCATCCCCGGACTCTGGGCCTCGGTTTCCCTCCCTACCCCACTATTGTTTCTTCCAGACCCCCGATGCCCAGGGGACAAAACAAGTGGTGTGGAGAAAGGAGGCAGTTCATGGTCCTCCCCCCGCCCTTGGCACAATTTCTGCTCCCATGGCATAGCTTTCCAAGAGCAGAGCATCAGCGTTTTCTGACAGGGTCGGTCAGGACACACAGGAGGCAGAGGCTTAGACCAAGTAAGGGGTGGGCAGGGCTGAGAGGAAAGCCCGCAGCACTGATCCAGCAGTGCAGAGCCCTGGGCCCTCATCCAGACTCAGCCTTGCTGTGTGACTCTGGGCAAGTCCCTTCCCCTCTCTGGGCCTCAGTTTCCTCTCTCATCAAGTGGGGGCATCCTACCTATATTCCAGCGTGGTTGTGAGGACCTGAGGAGGGAGGGAGAGGGTGCTGAGGAAGTGGGAAATGCCCAGTTTTTCCTTTTTGCTCATCTGGAGGCGGTAGGGAAGTCAGATGGTGGTGGCTGCGAGGAGGGGCCATCCTACAGCTGGGGGGCAGGGAGGAGCGAACTCGGGCACCTCTGCGGAAATGAGGAGATGGTATCACTCAGCACTGGAGCGCCGCCGCCACCGGAGCCCAGCCGGCGTGGGCTCAGCTGACAGGAAGGAGAGAACCACAGGAAGTGAGACCCCCAGGCTCCGATAACCCCCTTCTCATTTCCAGCCCACCCCAGGTGCACACAGCCTTGCTCGAACACCCCTCCCTGCCCCAACACACACGTACACCCATGCACACAGACCCGCTTCGCCCACCGGCTGTGTGACCTCCGGCAGTTCATTTCACTGCTCTGAACCTCAATTTCCTCATCTGGAAAATGGGGGATTAAACTAGTGTCATGGAGTTGTGCTGAGAATTGAGTGAGGTGATGCACGCGGCGTGTCTGACGAATGTAGAGACATTGCTAGTGATCCCCATTGTTGTCATCTTCATTACTTCTTATGGAAGATATTCTGGGTGCCAGCCATCATGTTAAGCATGTAATTTACATACTTTTCTTCAATCCTTCCACTGCCCAGAGGACGTAGGCACTGTCATCTCTCTTTTACTGACTGGAGAGTGGGGTTCAGAGAGGTCAAGTCACTTGTCTCAGGTCACACAGCTAGGATCTGGAAGAGTATAGATTCAAGCCCAGGGCTACGTGACTCCAGAGCTGCTGCATTAGAACCATGACAATTCGAGAGAGTGTCAGTGAAGCCCTGACCCTCCTCAAACCCTCGATGAGTGGCACTGCATGTATTTTTTATTGTTATTACTATTATTGCTGCTGGCATTGTCATTAACTCCTTTCCTTCCTCTTCCCCCTTGCCAGGGTTCTTCAAGTTCAAGGGCCTCGGGAGTCTCTCCAACCTCTCCCGGTCCTTCACTCTGAGACGGTCCTCGACCCCCGTCAGTATCCGGTCCCATCTGAAGCCTGACACCTTTGATGCCACACAGGATGACATGGTGACAGTCCCCAAGAGCCCCCCGGCCTATGCCCGCTCCAGTGACATGTACAGCCACATGGGCACCATGCCTCGCCCCAGCATCAAGAAGGCAGCATCAGGACAAGCTGCCCAGAAGGCCCAGGAGGTGGGCCCTGAGAACCATCTGGTGCCCCAAGATCTTCCCGAACATCCCAGCTTGGAGGCAGCCGACGAAGGGGTGGTGGGGACCAATGCCCCCCTGGAGGACACCCCAAAAGTGGGCCCCAACCCTCCAGCAGTGGAGGTGGGCCCCACAGGAAAGCCTGAGGACCTCAGGATGGACATAGAAGAGGAGAGAGCCCCTGAGAATGTGCCCCCAGAAAGGTAGGTGGCTCCCACAGTGGGGTGAGGGCAGGACCTGCGGGGATGGTGTCTCGAGCCTCCTGCCAATGGAACCTGGAGAGGACCCCCAGCACACACATCTGGGTGAAAAACAAACACCTACACACGAACCGGGTGCTTAATATAAACCAGGCAGTGTGCTTAGCTCTTCACTTTAACCAACTCTCAAAAAAAAAAACCCAACTGGAGAGGAAATACTGCTATTATTTCCACATGACAGATGAGGAAACTGAGATTCAGGGAGGGAAAGTCCTCTGTCCCAGTGAGGTTGCACACCTAGCAAACGACAGACTTAGGATGTGAACTGAGACCCACCCGGCTCCAGAGCCACAGGCAGCCTCCAGCACGGGGCCCCCAGTTACCGGCCCCCCCAAGCCCTATCGCAGATCCCTACACCCCCACACCCGAAGCACTGCCTTTAATTCTGCTGAACAACACCACTCCACCTGGTCTAGAAAACCAGCTGTCACTTAACTAGGTTATCGGGTGAGCAGAGTTCATGCAAAAATACCAATAGTGATGATCTGACTGTAACTCCCGTTTGGTAAGAACCCATCTTACTGGGTGTCAGATCAAATGTTACTCACAGAAAACCCCGTAAAAGAATCTGTTTTTAGATTTTAGCCCCATCTGACAGATGGGGAAACTGAGACAGCCAAGGTGGCAGAGCTGGCATTTGAGCAGGAATCTGCCTGCCTCCAGTGGCTGCAGCCTCCCCACCACTTTGTCCCCCCATCTTCTAAGTGCTGCAGCCGTGTTCTTCATGCCCCTGGGAGACTGACCAACCCCAGCTCTTCAGCCCTCAGAGCCTTCATCTAAATCACATCGGTGAGATGTGCCCATTGAAACAAAGAGGAAAAAAACGACTGAGCAAAAGTAACTGTAGGGCTGGTTCTGGGCTCTCCTGAGTGGCTCTGCCCTGAGACCCCGGCACGGCTTCTGTGTGCTGGGTGACTGAGTCTAGACCCCCGTTCAATGGGGAGCAGGACCTTGTAAAGCTGCAAAGTGAATCCAGCGAACCCAGACTCTGCCTCTTATTGACTGCGTGACCTTGCACATCTGCACCCTTCTCTGAGCCTCAGTTTCCTCATCTGATAAATGGGCAAACGATAGCACCCACCTTGTAGGGTTGTGGTGAGAATTCAAGAATGACACACTTAGACAATCTTAGCACAGTTCCTGGCACACCACAGACACTCAGTAAATGGGAATGTTTATACTTCTGATTAATAAAACTAATGCTTTTCCACCATCTCTGGCTGCTCCAGGCTGCCTTCTTCTGCCATCCTCTCCTGAGTTCAGCCTCATGTGGGCGAGGAGGGGCCAGGACTGCGTGAAACGGACAGGGCCTGAGAGGTCCTGGGGCCTCCTGAGGCCCCCGGGGGTCTGAGATACGCGCTAGGAGTTTGCGGGGCCGGGGCGGGGGCGGGGCGGGGTCAGGGGCGTTGCCTTTCCAGGCAGCGTCGCGGACTGTTGGGGAAGCTGCGGTCTGAGCGGGGCGGGGCGGGGCGGGGCGGAGGGGCGGGGAAGGGGGCGGGGCCTCCCCGCCCCGGAGACCGACAGACGAGGAGAGGGCGGAGCGAGCCGGGAGGCGGAGGGGCGTGTCCGAGGCGGACCGAGTCCTTCCCCGCGGGAGGGGCTGGCGGCGGAGCGGCCCCCGGCGGAGGGCGGAGGGGCGTGTCAGGGGCGTGGTCTACAGGTCAGGCTCCGCCCCCGGGGTCCTGCTCCGAGCTCCGCCGCTCTGCGCCCCTGAGTAAGGCGGGAACCGTCGGGCTGAGAAGGTCCTCGGGCTGCAGGAGGTGACCGCGGGGGACCATGACTGCAGTGGGCCGAAGGTGCCCCGCACTGGGACCCAGAGGGTGAGTGACCGAGCTGGGCCCGAGAACGGCCGGCGGGGACGCGAGTGGTCTGAGAGGGACAACCATGCCCCGGGGGACAACTGAAAAAAAAGGGAGTGCCGGTTTAGCATCAGAGACTTTTGAGTTTTCTTTGGGTGTAACTGTCGCTGCCCTGTCCTGGCTCAGGTCTGGCACTTACTCTTCACAACAGCCCCAGGAGAGAGGCACCATTATCATCCCCGTTTTACAGATGAGAAAAGAGAGGTTTACTTGCCCAGTGGACACAGTGGCGATGGTCAGAACCAGGGTTTAACCCCACCTTCCTGACTCGAGCCCTTAAAGGGCCAGAGCCCTTTCCAGCAGGGCCAGGGCCTCCAAGAAGGATGGTCTGGAGCAACCTTGAGAATGCCAAACCTAGGACCCAGCCTTCCTCCCCTGTGGACAGGGGCCCTGGTGGTCCTGGAAGTGCCTCTGGCATCAGAGCTGATGGCAGAAATGGAGAGATTCTCCCTCTCATCCCCTAATAGTCTGGAGTGTCCAGGGGTCCTGCGGAGCGTGGAGTTAGCAGATCGGATTGAGCCCCCTCCTGGTGCCCTGAGATCCAGTGTCCCACCGGCCCTCAGGCCAAGTAGGAGGCCAGGGATTGTTGAACAGACAGGGAAGCTGCTTTGCCTGTGCGATCTCAGACTTGCCCTGCCCGCTCTGGGCCTCAGTCTCCCCAGCAGCCCAGCGGGGCCTGGGATGGTGTCTGAGGACCATCCAGCTTAGGGAAGAGCGCCTTTGAGAACTGCTACTGAGCAAGAGTGGGGCCCCATTCCCGAGTGTCCCAAGGGGATTGTCCCAATGGCTGCCCAGGGAGCAGCCTATGCTGGGGGAGATGATGTCCCTCCCTCACCCCCTGGGAGGCAGGGTGCACCTGGAGCAGAAGGAAGGAAGGGGAAGAGGTGAGGCTGCAGGAGTTTCCTGGTGCCCTGTTCCCTGCTGAGATCATGGGGCATGAGGAGGAAGGAGGGGGGAGGGGCCCATAGCACAGAGAAGGAAGGGCCTTTAGCTCCAAAAAGGACAGCGCCAGCCTAGCCTCCCCCTGCACCCCCCGCCTGCACCCTCAGCCTTCTGCAGTGAAACAGCGGGTCCAGGGAGCTCTGACCCCCTCCCCCTCAGTCCCTGTTACAGAGGAGGAAGCGCAGGCTCAGAGAGGGAAGGGAGGCCTCCCGACCCCCTGACCCCACCCCCACACAGGAATTGTCAGGCCAGGGACCCGGCAGAGGAGAGCCAGAGCTGGCTCACCAGCAGCCAGGCCCTCCTGGACCACCCAAGGGCGCCATCTACCACACGGGCCCTGGGAGAAGGGAGCCTCTATTTGCTGCACTCTACCCATGAGGAGACTGAGGATCAGAGAGGGGAAGGGCCTTTCCCGGGGTCACAGAGAGATTAAGTGTCAGAGCCCAGATTTGATCCCAGATCTGACCAACCCCTAAAGCCAAACTCTGAACCACGAGGCCGCCTCTCAGCTCCCGCAAGTAAAAATCTCAAAGCTGTTTCTACCATTATTTCAAATGACTTCCCATAACCCCTGGGAAGGAGGTCATAGGAGCCCACTGTACAGATGAAGACGTTGAGGTTTTGTGAGGTTAATAACTTACTCAAGATGACACAGTTAGTTGAGTTGGAATTGTAGACATTTTAACATTTATTGAGATGTAACTATGTCCTAGACACTGTTCTAGGTCTTGGGGAGATGGCAGTGAGCACAGTAGACAAAACTCTGCCCTCGTGGAGCCCCCATTCCACTGCAGCGAGCACAGATGTTAAGACAACCAAGTTGTATGGTCAACCAGAAGAGAAAAGGGCTATGGAGGAAAAATTTAAATCAAGCGGGGAATTGATCTTTGGGGCCTTGTGGGGAGTGGCTGGTGGTAGCAATTTAGGAAAGTTAGCCTGGAAAAAGTCTCAGGGACAAAGTGATGTTTGAACAAAGGAGATGAGGGAACACACCCTCTTGCTATCTGGGGAAGAGTGTACCAGGCTGAGGGGACAGCATGTGCAAAGGCCCTGAGGTGGGAGCCTCCTCGATGTGTGTGAGGACCAGCAGAGACCAGAGTGGCTGGAATAGAGCAAGGTGGGGGTGGAGGGAGGAGTAGCGGGAGGTGAGGCTGGGGAGGAAATGGGTTCAGATGATGTAAAGCCAGGCAAGGACCTGGCCTTGCCTCTGAGTGAGCCAGCAGCCATGGCCAGCCTTGAGCAGAGGAGGGCCCCACTCTGACTTCTGGTTTACGAGGACCTCTCCTTTCAGGAGGATTTGAATGCAGCTCTACCTTTTCTAAAATGTCTCACCCCGCTGACCTTTCCTCCCACTCAGAGACCCGGGCCCCTCTGCCCCGACTGCCGAGGGCCTATGCAGAAGGACCCTGGGACAGGGAGAAGGTGGCACCCTCTAGGAGAGCTGGGGGCACCCTCCATCACCCCTGCCCCAGCCCCGGTGCCAGGCACTGAGAACAGACCAAGACACCCCCCCCCCCCCCCCCCCC